AAAACAATTCTTTCTGGAAAAATTCCTATTCCGTAGCAAATTACCCTAAAGTAACGTGGCCTTGTAGTAACGTAATGGTAGTAAAGTGAACGTAACTTTACGCATTTTCGATCGACTAAAAAGATGGATGTAGAAGAGAAAAAGAATTCAACAGAACGGGACTGTGATTGCTGCAGAAATTGACAGAGTATGCATCTGGCATGACGAAATAGTCATGAGAATAGGTGGACATTGCAAATTCCTAAATAATATTTGTTTTGTATATATATAATTATATTCTATCATCACTGTATAGTAACAGAATTTTAAATTTGCTCGAAGCGGAACCTTTTCTACTGGCAAAAGTTTGAAATTATCATTTTGTGCTGCGTTTGTAAAACAACAAACGGCGTTTCATGAATAACCCCCACTGCGTTCATCGCTACGAACGACCGGAACAAATATTGAACACAGTTCCAGATTCTTTACAGCTTTTCATGTAATTATTTTTTCAATATGCCACGCAAATATTTGCAGAGGGCACACGAACTTTGATGTGGAAAGTTATAAATTATATGGCTGAAGCATTTTCATAAAGAATTTCTATAAATAAACGTAAATATGACAATTTGGCATTTTTCTTTTATCAAATTTTAGCTATATATACTTAATAAATTTATTACCAAAATCCAAAAGAATACAAAGTTGCTGTGTTTACTGTATACCATAATAAAAACGGACTAATAAAAAAAATTCAGAAAATCCTACGAATCAAGTTGGAAGTTGCTAAAATTTTATGTTCTTGTTTTATTTCTACTTAAAAGCTATGCAATATTATTCATATTTACCAATATTAAATGTGGTGGTTACATTCATTATAGTCAATTCACAAAGCAATGAAACTTGTCGTTAAACTTTATTGTCCTTTTGAAGTCAATAATTTTATAACCTATCTGGTGTGCCAAAACATGCACTCATGCAAACATAAATATAACAAGCCGGCAGGCCGCCAAACATCTCATGGTGGGCCGCGAATCGTTGCGAAATTAATCGTTTTTTTCCAAATTTTTGGTTAGATCTGGAATTATTTCGACTATTCAATAGGATAGCAATGCTTTTCTCACGAGGATCCTAGTCGATTCCATAAATTTAGGTGTTCGAGCGTGACTGTGGGATAAGTCTGCTGTAATTCCATATCATTTATACCAGGGCTTCCCAAACTTTTGAACTCGCGGCCCCATTTAATATATCAAATTTTTTCGCGGCCCTCGTCCACGTTAAATAATGCCAAACAGTTCGAATTATGCATTTTTAATGTTTTATTGGCACTGCTAATTCTCAACCTCAACATGTCTACTCAATAACGAATGTTTCGAGGCGCATACAGCAAATCGTCTTCGGAAACCGCTAGCCTAATGATTAAACCCGTCATTGTTATGCAAACCGCAAATCGGGTTTCACGATCAGAATATGCATTGTTATGCATCGCGATCATTCTACCGTGTTTCCCCGAATATAAGACAAAGCCTGAATTTAAAAAAGATTTTAATATGAGCGCTCGCTTTTAAAAAAGACAGTCGATAGCGCAACTTTTTTTTTTGAATTAATCTCGTGGAAGTGCGTCGTTTCAATTTTGCTAGGACGTCGCAAAATTTCGTGATTCGTGAACCTTTCAAACAACCCATATCTTCTACTTTCACTGAAAAAAAGAAAGATTAAATCGATCTTACCTGTGATGTTGCTATAATAGAAAAGTTTAATTCTGGAAATTCGGTTTTCTGTAGATAAAAATTATTTGACCTTGGTTCAAAAAGCGTTGCGCACTCCCATCTTCTTTGAGATTTATTCTTTATATAAAGCAGGCTTTTCTACCAAGGCCCATTAATTGCGATTTCACTGACTGTCGTTAAGTTTTGTTTGTTCGTTTATATGAAACTCATTATAAAAGGTCTTTTAAAAGGTATCAATACGTATTATCACGGGTCGCAACTTGAGCATATTTTTAAAGGGCGTCACAATACGATGAAGTTCGAGAACCACTGCGTCCCAGTCGATAGCAAGAAATATTTTCTACTTTTTTTAAATGGTAATAGTCTATATGTAGCAGTTATTTCAAATAAAAACGTGCTTTTATAAGTAAACGGAAATCGGTATTCATATTTTGTATAATAAAAAATCTCATTATTCTCTATTCCAAAAATAAGCCCTAGTGTTATTTTCGAAAGAAAATTGAAGACAGTGTCTTATTTTCGGGAAAACACGGTATTATGATGATGTATTCACTCGGAATCTTGAAATCTTTTTGTTTTACACTATTTGTATAACAATTGTATTTCGAAAAAAGTACAATATATATGGTACTTTGTGTAAAATTGGTGTTCTCTTTGCGGCCCCTAAAATTCGTTTCGCGGCCCCTAGTTTGGGAAGCCCTGATTTATACGATGTTGGTATTTTTGGAGAACGGTGATCAGTAATTTATTTTTTTACATGCGAAAATACGAAAGTATACAAACAGTAACGTAAAATAAAAATAATAAACAAGTCATGGTTATCGAGCGTCGCCTGTATAGTAATGCTTTTATTTGTCCGTGAATACGAAAATAATAATTAAAAATCGATTATAATCGAGCAGTTTACCACATATTCTATGACCTATGTCAACAGATTGCAGTGGTATTTTATTGTAGTTTTTTCCGTAGTTATTTTTCCTTAAATACGAAAATTGATTATAATCGGACAGTCTTGTTAACCACACATTTTGCTGCTATTTTTTCATAATCCATGAGTTACGTTAATCAAAATTGAATTAATATACGGCACGGCATTTTAAAAGCTGGTATCGGTCATGGATTTGAGTATTTTATGCAACAGAAAATCATCCAAATAAAAGTCGATATTTTTAACTATCACGACCAAAATTATTTGCCATATCGTGGAAAAAGTTATAATTTATTTTTGTGTAGCTTTACAATTGCGGCTTTACATAATTTTCACTTTTTTAACGTAATGAAAATGAAATGCGTAAATAAGAAGTCTTGCAAGGGAATGGCGGCAATGTCCATCACGCAGCGGTGCTGAATTGTTGCAAACATATTATTCGGCGCACGCCTGCACAGAAGATAACAAACAATCAGAGTGCGGATTCTATTTAATCGTCATTATTTACACTACACGTGAAAAGGCGCAGAGAATCGTTTGAAGATTTCCCTTGAAAACGGAACCCCTACCTGACGGCGAAAAGTGACTATCATTCGGAATTATACGAAAATCTGCCGAAAAAGTATACGAATACTTCAATATTCGATTCGTTTGACAAACCTGTGTCGACTTAATTTAACCTCGGAAATAAACGTTAGTATAGGTGGTCCGCAGGATAATACTCTCAGTGAAAGTGGGCCGCGATATAAAAAAAAGGTTGAAAAGCACTGATCTATAAAAACCTGCGCGTGTAAAACGGCAGCGTTGTTGAGTGAGCGGGTCACCGAAACTACCAGTTCAGGTTCGTTACGTGGACGTTCACGCGTGAGTGATATACTGAAGAAAATAATCGAAATAATGTTCACTAAAATCCCTAAGGCTTCCCCAGTTTATGGCGTATCGAGATGAAGGAGGACATGTTCGAAAGAGTAGTTTATTTCGCAGGGGGTAGCGTTCCCGGAATTTTAATTTTTGTGATGGTTTACGATAAATTTGTGAAAAGTAAGAGTAAATTCGAAGTTTTTCAAAAATCGGCGCATATTTTTGCTGCTGCCATGGAAACGAAACATTAATCCGGATTTTCACTGAAACGCACAATACTAGGGTGATAGTATAACCGACTTGATAAATTTCATTCAGAACTGTCCAGCCGTTTAGATCAGTGATCACCAACGTGTGGGTCGCGACCCCACGTGGGGTCGCCTTAAATATTTCTGGGGTCGCTGATTGCCCATCGTTGTCTTTTCTTTTATTATTTTTATTATGTGTGTGACTTCTCGGCTTAACGCTAGATATTTCGAACAAAAAAATGAATAGACAGACAGGTAATATCAAGGGCAATTACGATCAATCAATCATGACATTATAATCACAAATTTAGTTGTGCAGTCTGCACTGTTAAGTTGAAAAACGCTCAATAGGCTAGCAAGTTTCGATATTTCGAATTGGAGTATTGCGTAACGACAGTAATTTATATTTTAAAGTAAATCGTTATTGTGTCGTTAAATGTACTGTACAGTGGCCGTTGCTTTTAGTGCAAAACCTCATTTTCCAGGCTGCCGTCATATTGATAATTACAATTTATTAAATGGCTGATAAACATAAAAGAAAAATATCGTATGATCAATCTTTTTGAAAGCTGTACTTTTAGTGCTATGAGTCTGCTAAAATCAAAGCACCGAAATCGATCTAGTTGGAAGGAAGCAGTCGCATTCTTCACACTGATTAAATATGGTTGTTGTTGGGTTCTTTTAATAAAGTTCCTAATTTGATAAATATTTTTTTCGTGTCTGTAGGTGAACATATATATATACCTTGGGGTCGCGAGTGCTTATCATACGTAATAATATTGTAGATGGGGTCGTGTCTCAAAAAGTTTGAAGACCACTGGTTTAGATGCTACAGCAAGCCATACAGACAGACTTAAAAGCCTACTGACAATAAGGGTCTCCTAGAGCGGAGATCCAAAAAATACTCGCATTGAAAATGGGTGACTTACTAAAACAGAACGAACACAGTTTAAACGAACATAAATGTTGAATATTACGTGAGTTCAATTTTATATTTCTGTGACATACAGAAATACAAGAATATTCATGAGTTTCGAGCAAGAGTCCTAGAAGACACAATGAAATTAATTTATTACTGTTATGTTACCCTGAGAACGTTTTTACAACTAAGTAGGGCCAAATAAAAATTAGATTACAATTTATTTAGACTTTTGAATAGGCAGAGATATGCTTTTTAGACACTTGAAGAAATATTCCAAAGTGTAGAATAATGTTTCAGTTTAATTTTTTAAGGTTAATTTCAGAATCATTATTTTATCTGAAATAATGCAGTCGACAGTCAAATCAGATGTACTTTGTTTTTATGTAAACGGAAGAAAGGTGAAATTTTTATTAATAGTTTTTTCATTTTATTGTAAAATATTCTGCTTTGTGATCAATATGTACAATTTTAACACTTCAAAATTGATATATCGTCAAAATAAATTCAAGAACACACTTCAATCACTTGTCTCGCCATAATATAAATAAATGGTATAGTTCAGATAAGACGAAAAGGCTATGTAATGTTTATAGTTGTTTATACTTTTCTTCATGTTTCAAGACCTAGCATAAAACGATTACCTGACTAGCTCATCACATACCTACCCGAGACTGGTCTTACTTACTTTCCAGCTGACTTTTCGCTTTTTTCTTAAAGTTTTTTTTATATATAAAAGGAATTTTTAATTAGTGAAAAAATAAATTCAGTCAGACATGGACAAAGTTCTAGGTCTAATAGTATATTAACAAACTATTTTGCATGAATAACCAACACTGAGTTAAAAGCACTTGTGTTTCATATTATAAAGGCAAATTCAACTAGTTTTCAAAACTTTTCATTTGCATAACTATTTACAAATTTCAGGTAGTGGAAAATATTGCGGATCCAGAAACAACGTTACTTACTTACTTGAGAAATGATCGTAAGTGAAATGGTGTTTGCAAAATATAAGCATATGTTATTCAAGCATGTAGTGGAATGGTGTTGACAATTTATATGCATATGTTATTCAAGCATGTACGACATGTTTTTCGAACAAGAAAAGTAAAAACAATATGATCCACGGTCGTTTACGAAAGAAGTATATTAATTTTTATATAAATATTTTTAGCAACTAAAAACAAGCTAAAAAATTTTCAGTTAAAATAAGATAATGCACGAATTCTGCAAATGCCGTATTTGGCGTTCGTCAAATTGCCTACAGTTCTAAAGAACTTCGAGAATGAAACCATGAGTTTTTTCGAATATATTTCCATAATCATTTTCTGTCAGAGCCATATATCTCTATATATGTAACTACATATATATATATATATATATATGCAGTGGCGGTATTCCGATTTTTTGTCAGCCGGTTCCATCAAAAAAGTCATATTTTTCTCCCGGTTCTGTTACAAAAAGTCATTGACAGTAACCAGTAATGCTAATCGGTTTGCTGATCTCATAAAATTCTATCAGACGGTTCTATAGAACCGGTGCGAACCGGCTGAATCCCACTACTGTATATATGTAATGTTGGAACGACTCGTTTTTCGATTTTACTGGGTATCAACGTTCATAAGGGTGCAGATTAGCGGGGATTTAATTATTTTTTAAATATATATACATATCCTTACTCAAATGTAACATTTCAAATATCTTTCACGATTTCTAGTTCGTCTCACTGGTTCCAAACTAGGATGTGGAGAAGGGGGTTGTGGCGCGTGTACTGTCATGATATCCAAATGGGAAAGCGCAAGGGGAAAACCAAGGTAGGTAATATTTTCGACTTTGTTAGCTTTCATTTGTCCTGGATACTACATTTTTCTCTCAAAATAAAAACATATGATTTGTAAAGGGGTGGTATTCTAATAAACTCGGGCCTAGAAATTTTATATTCAGTTTTTCTAGTGATTATCTGATGCTATTATATAGGCTTACTATAATGAACGTTTCAGACAGGGTCGTATTTGGGCGATGAGGGGCCGTAGGCAACGCAATGACGCCATAAATAATACATTATGATGTCATAATTGATGCCATTCACTTTTATGTATATTATATTGTTCTGAATGACATTTTAAATTTAAGTACATTATGAAACTCAAGGCAATACAGAACGTCATAGCACCAGACTACAGTTGTTAAATTTGAACAAATTCATTTATTCCACTGTATTTAATTTTTACCTCCAAGTTAGTAAATATTTGGAACACCAATTATTAACTCGCTTAAAAAATTAAATAAATATCGGTTTCATAAAATTCTAAACCGTTTGTTTCGAGCCTTCTTTTCTACTATAAAAGTCGCCCCAAATAACAGGATTAACAACAACGATTTAGCGAATTGATCATTATGGCCACTCCTTATCCAAAAGTCTGCAGGTTTAACGATCCTTCGATCATCAAGTTTTTAGCTAAATACATTTGGTTAAGCTCGAGGTTTACACATTCGTCATATCTGAATGATATTTCGAACGAGGAGAAGGATAAGGCCTTTTGTTTTTAAATACACAAAATATAAGAAGCGAATGGTTGGTTTGGGCTTGTAACTAGCATAAGATAGCCTACAGTCGTATATTGAGGCATGGAAATTTTGAAGAATTTCAAAACGAGAAAAATACGAAATAACATGGCTATTTGAACAAAAACTTGCTTCGTATATTTTTCAAAAGGTGGTTTGTGTTGTTACGGAAAATTTGTCATGATATTTTTTCTATTCCTTTAGGCATTTGTCAGTTAATGCATGTCTTGCTCCACTCATTTCTGTACATGGATGTGCAGTAACTACAGTAGAAGGAATCGGAAGCACGAAAACTAAACTGCACGAAATTCAAGAAAGATTGGCGAGTTTTCACGGATCGCAATGTGGATTTTGTACTCCTGGCATTGTCATGTCGATGTACGCATTATTGCGTAATAAACAGATCCCCACTTCAACTGACATCGAGAGTTGTTTGCAGGGTAACTTGTGCAGATGTACTGGATATAGGCCCATTTTACAAGGTAAGATGCGTTGGTTATAGATATACACATGTGAAAGACATACAGTACAAAAACAAAGAAAATGCGCGGAAAAAAAAACAAGTGTTACATGGCCAACTGAATTGATTTTGTGTACATCTGTATAACGTTTCTTTAGGATATTTAACAGTATTTTAAAATGCAATAACGGTAAAATGCCATTCAACAATTTAAAGGCAAATTTTTAACAGTATTTTAAAATACAATGATGGTAAAATTCCATTCAACAATTTAACAGCTGAATTTTTCAACAGTATTAACAAAATACAATAATGGTAAAATGACCTTCCAACAATTTACTGGCCGACTGTTTTAACAGTATTCACAAAATACAATAACGGTAAAATGCCATTCAACAATTTAACGGCTGATTTTTTTTCAACCTCTTTTTCAAAATACCATAACGGTTAAATGCCATTGAGCAATTTAAAAGCTAACTTTTTAAAAGTATTTACAAAATACAATAACGGTAAAATGTCATACGACATTTCATTGGCTGACTTTTTTAACAGAATATCAGAATACAATAACGGGTAAATGCCTTTTAACAATATAACAACTGGCTTTTTCAACAATATAAATTGCAATGATTGAGTAATGTCAACAACTTATAATCTAAGAGTACTGGGGATGGTTAATGGGTTTGCTGTTGTCAGATGGTGACCGTTTACAAACGGGGCCGTCCAAAATCAATATTTATTTTATTTAAACTGAACATTTCTCTCCAATGGTATAATCGAATGCATGAAATGGTTAATAACATGCCACCGGGCGTGAGGAGATCTTGCTTTTTGTGCAAAAGAAACGCGAGAGATATCGGGACACCACTTATCGGCATTGTGGGTTTTGATTGTCATTTACGCACCAATCGGAACCGCTTACCTGTTGTAGATTGGCTGATTTCTAAGATTCAATTAGTTTTGCCCTACTTTCAGACAATTTTGACATTTGGCTGTCATTTCCTCATTCGCCCGATAAAGGATCATTTCGCAAATTAATTTTTTAGGCGGACGATATTTTATCAATTCGCACATTTATATCTTCAGCAGTGAACCGTGTGTTTTTGAATGATTAACCATGCGTTATAAACAATTTTGGGGGCTCCCGAAGTATGCGAACCAAGATGGCGGATATCGGAATGTAATATGTGTACTAGGTTAGGGTTAGGCGTGTGTACCATAACCTGGTACACACACTACGGGGAGTACCCAATTTTGACCATTGACTAAAAAGTGGTTCTTTTAGTCATGTACAGACACCTAGTGAACATCTATTCCTCATTTAAACGTTAACCGCTGGGCTTGAATGGTTAACCGGTTATCCGTTGCCACCAATAGAAATACAAACGAGCGTGTATATTCATGGAAGTCTACAAATCATCATGACTCGTTGCGCGATAGACCTACAGATGACGCGGTTAAGGTTCATTCGTTGAATTATCTCAAAAACTCTCAGATGACGAGAAACCGTAGTTCGACTGATGTAGCAAGTTATAGGTCGACAAACTGCCGTCCGCAAACAAACTATTAGTGGAATAGGTGTAGCCAGGCCATGCTATACCACTCGACTCACACTTTAGATTTACCGTTGATGATATTGTCTTTGCGAATTCAATCAGTAAGCAAGATGATTTATGTAAATTTGTTACATATCAATTACTTAAAACACTATGTACAATGCGTAGGTTTTAAGAATCATTACAGAAAGTAAGCAACATAAGTTCTTCGCGCAATTTGCTCTGCCATGTAGAAAAATATTTGGATGAGTATACTAAATTCGGACTTATCAAATCCGAGAAAAGAAACAGATTGGAAGTATAAGTTGGCATGAGACTGGCTTTTTCTAACATACAACCACAAATTTTAAGGCTGGCCACACATACATACACATGCCCAGCCATTGCAAATAGATACGTATGTCTTGGCTATACAATTAATTCTTTTTTATATGATATCAGCAATTATTGACAATAGTATCGGGGTATGTTAGGAAATGTTTAAAGGTGATTGCAAAACAAATACGGCTGCACGCAAGTTAGTGAGCAATAATGCTCAACAAACTAGTCAATGATTGAAATCCATTTTAAATGTTTATGTCAGCTATTTCCATAAAACTGCTCGACACAAACATGATCAGTGTACAATTTCGACAGCAAATGACCAAATACTTGAACATGGGGATCGGCAAGACCTCGGATTGCTGCAGAACAAAGCGATTATTCAGACAAATTACGAAATTACCATCCACGCATTCGAGGTAATTGGTGTAATAACGTCAACAATAAAATTAACTGTAACTTCTTAAACTTGGAAGCATTTTTTGACATTATAAAATGATCCATATACCACACTGCCGATCAGATTCGCCATGCTCACCAGTTCGATTAGTTGTACTGTGGTTGTTATTGCAGAACATCCCAGATATCGTCTTGGTTAATTATTGAAAGTAGCAACTCTACACCAGGGTCGTCCCACCTTTTTGGCAGAAGGGCCACATGTGATTTACTAACAATTGCGCGGGCCACTTAACATAGTAGTTATGTCCTAGTTTTGCTACACTGACTACAGATTAATGAAGAAACAAACAAAACTCTCACACCGAACTTTCACAATTATAAGAACAATAAAAATAAGAACATACAGTAAAGTCAACATATATAGTTTTTTTTACACGTACATATTTCAGTGTGAAGTTTGGCACTGCTTTTCGCTAACAAGTTTGTCAATATTCGTTGAGACGGACGATGTGGCAATGCGAAGTCAATTATTCATATCAGGGTGGTCCAAACGCGGGCCCCATGCGGCCCGCCGCTTCATTATCTGTGGCCCGCGCCGCACTCTGAGATTAATCAGAATATCGTATTCTAAATTGCTCCTCATAAAAATAAATCAGAAAAATCGTTTGACATATATATTGTTGTTATATCACTACTGTGACTGAATTGACTAGTATGGTGGCTAGCTGAAGCAACTAGCGAAGTTGAAGATGTGATGGGCAGTCTAAATTGTTACCTGGATTTCTATCGTTTTGGTCGGGAATATATGCTAATAATATAGGCATGATAGAAAACTAAACATTGGATGCGGATTTCATCGGCCTAGGTTGGCAATGCCTATGTGATAACTATGTGTTTGCACAATAGAAGTACTATTTTTGTATTGCACAGTTTACCTTGGTACTATTGCGGCCCGCGACCAATGCCAAAATAATTTTGTGGCCCGCGGAGCCCACAACTCTGGACCACCCTGATTCATATGATTGTTAGAAAATAGTGATCTCTGGGACGATTTGACATGTTCCATCTGTGAAAAAACTTGATCGCACAAGTAAGTGCTGCCAAATAATGAGATTATAAAAACTACCATGTGAATCCTCTGAAATTTTTCTTCAAAGATGTATTTTTTTTTAAATTCTAGTGATGGCAAGTCTTTAAGGCGCCAAAGCAATCCAAAGTTGTCAACTCATCAATATTTTTCTTCATTGCCGAAACATCAGGGATTTTATGTATGTACGTACCACGCCTAAACACACAGCATTGGCAATCATTGCTTATTCCCCCTACAGGTTTGATCAAGTAATATTTGGTTAGTACTACATTTGAACGAGAGTATACTACATCACATACACATACAAAAATAGAGGTTTCCTCAATTTTTTTAAATTCAATTTCGAAAAATACAGCGAGGGCCACATGATACTCTTCCGCGGGCCACATGTGGCAAAAGTGACAGGTGCTGGCTAAATAATCGTCAGTAGACCAGGATCATTGTAGTTTATTGGAAGCATCGTTACATGACATCAGTCAACAAGTCTAGAAGAAATGTTGGCACTAAAAAGCAACAACATATTTTCTATATTATTTTTCAACATATTTTCCAGTGGCGGCGCGTGGTCATTTTGACAACCGGGGCAAGCTACTGCGGGACCAAGTCACCCCCATCTACGGGGACAGGATGAGCGCTGTAAGTTCTTCCATCATTTTATGAGTATATAAACCATTCCATCGGTAACAACCAATCGGCAAAAGCGACAATTTTTAACGATAAGAAAGTGTCTTTAAAACCGGTCCAAGTCAAGGGATTAATAAATATAGACATAGTTTATTTTGAAACCTCTTTCAAAAGGAAAGGCAATATTTACCCAGATAAATACAATGACATATTAACAGAAACTTCGGGAAAGCAGACAAAAACTAAAAAAAGGGTTTAAAACGTTACTATGAAGAAAGGAAAGTTAATGCAAAGATAAGGACATGCGTCGCTCACTCATAGATATATATGCTGCTAGACTTCTACTGCTTGAACATATATGCAACACGCCGCGGTTTCTTGGAAGCAAAATGCTCAATAACGCGCTGATTAAAGTCATGCATCCCAGAAATAACGTCTCTGTGAATGGATAAAACAGCCAAGGAATTTAATCTATCTTGCTTCATTGTGTTTCTGAGATACGTTTTAATACGCTTCAGCGTGCTGAATGTTCGCTCTGCGTCGGCGGAAGAAATAGGCGTGGTCAGAATGATGTCCAGAAATTTTGCAGACGCCGCAAAGGTAGTTACTAGAGTGTTATCTATGAGGAACCCATAGAGCGCGCAAGTTGATGTGATGTTCAAAAAAGTTTGATTGTTTAATATACATCGCAATTCCTTTTTCAATTTACCCACGTTTATTATGGGGTAAAATTTGGAGACAGTAGCCAACAAATGGATGGGAAATTGACGTGCAATTTTTGGGGTTCATCAAAGAGAACGCGGCAAGGTGTTCATTGCGCAGACGATCGCCTATTTGATTCACCAGAATGTCACAGCATTCCTTTGCAGACAAAATCAAACGCTGCGTTGTTTGCCCGCGGCGTAAAGAAGCACTCCATGTGTCGTCGTATTTTATTGTTTCCCGGATACGAGATACAGCATCGCAGAAGTCTGAAATACACGACTGCACAGACGCTCCATCCATTAGCCTTGACTGCAATGCGCCGTATAATACATCCACGTGATAGAATATTGTGGAGAAAAAATGAAAACTCACCATCTTCTAGCAGACGCTTTAGACCTGCCGCCTCTCCACAGAGCTTTCGTCCCAAACCGGAGAGCTCTGAATGCCATTGAAACACTCAATGAGCTCATACCTAATTTCGGACATGCCCCGCACCACGCGTGATTGGAAGTTCCAACGTGTTGGTGCACAAGCTGGGAGACGGCGGCTACATATCTGGCGAAGGAGGTCAGAGCGCTTCGGCAAAACGGAAAAAAATGAAGAAAACCCCGAAACATTTGCAAAAAATATACGGACGAGAGGGGTATCAAGACACATATTTTTAATAACGAGGTTAAATTGGTGTGCATAACAATGTAAAAAATGCGCATGAGGAAAATATTCTTTCATATAAACTTGAACACCATGTTTCGACCCACTCATGACTGCCGCGCCGTCATAAGTTTAAGCTATCAATTTTGACTTCGCGTTGTAAGGCTGTAACACTTCTTTCAGTACAGCCGATATCCCGCAAGCCGTGCGATCAACGATTGGTACAAAGCTGTAATCTCTCGGTAGGTTTACCATCTTTCACAAACCGAAAAATCACAGCCAGTTGGGAAACGCACGTGATGTCAGTTGTCTCGTCAGACTGAATCGAAAGGAACTGGCAATTCTCAATTTCCAGAGCCAAATGTTGTAAATAAATTTTATACATTGAGTCGAGCAAATCATTTTGGATATCCTTAGATGTCCCTTTCGAAACAGTTGCGGCATCAAGATGATCTCTCAATACTGTATCTAGGGATGCGGTGTATTCCACCATATCCAAAAATACCCCTCTATTAGAAGAGCCAGCCCGTTCATCGTGCCCACGGAGGGACAGCTCGTGACAACCAATGAACTTCAAAACATCTATCATTCGACCAAGAACATAGCGATTTTTCTCGACGTTTTGGTTGTGCCGTTGAATAGAAACCGCGCGTCCTTCATCCAACTGTGCTGCAATATTAACATTTCCGAACGTTCGGTATTTTACTGCATTGTCCAGATGCTTCATAGAAGATTGATGATCCCTGGCACGCTCGGAAAGATGTTTAAGATCTCTAAAACCAAATTTACACCAACGTGAGTCACGGGCGGTAGCAAAAAGTAGGCAATAAAAACAAAAAAGTGCATTTTTGTCTTCGCTGTAACACAACCATTCGTGTTTTTTATACCAAGTTTCTGCGCAGAATGTACGCCGACGCTTTCCTCTGCCATGGGATTGTTCCAGTGAACAATTTTTTGGTTGATAAGGCCCAAGACGTTGTACCTCTAATTTTTGTTCCAGCGACAGCTGCGAAAACGGAGTGCGAAGTAGTGCATCAACCTTATTCATTATGAGGTCTAAGGCTAAGAAATGCGAAGCCGGAAAGAAGTGAGGAGCTCAAAAGGAATGTGGAAAATCGAAAGCAAATGGACTAAAGGTCTCTAACTGATTCAAATAGCGAAACAAGCGACAAAAACGAAGGCGAGGAAACTATCAACTCTTCAAGAAACCAACAAACGAGAAGGAATGCGTGAATATGTCAACACGTTGTGGTAAGAAACGTCGGCATTGTGTCGTCACAATTTCGGGGCTAGCCCCGATCGGCCCCGATGATTTAGTAAAAGAAACAGAAAACAAACGAGACAAACGCGGCGAGTGGAAGATAAAAGAGAGAATACGATATACAATTAGCAACCGGGGCAAAATCGGCGTCGCCCCGTCGACGTTCGGCGAAGGCTTTGCGAGCGAAAAATAAACCATGTCGGGAGAATATGGCTAGTGTAGACAGTCTGTGCAACCGATATTGAGGTATTTTTCGAATATTTTTTATTATACCGAAAAAACAACCGGGGCATTGCCCCGGTTGGCCCTATTGACGCGCCGCCACTGAATTATTTTCAATATTCAATATTTTCATATACTACTAATCAACCAAATAATATAATAGTATAAGAATAAAATAAGTGTCTCATGAAAATTGTTTCAGCTTTCAAAACTTTCACCTGTACAATGGGTAAGAAATGCTGCAAATCCAAGAAAATTGACATGGCCAAAGATCAAAAAAATAGAGGTATGTTATTTATAACCGAGTAAAATCTACCAGTGATAGCGTTTTAAAATGTTGAAAAGGTTGACACAAATATGTGATGATACATCACTACATTTAATATTCATCCAACTTTTCTCAATGCTCAATTAAGCGCAAAGAGTTTAAAACAGTCCAAAAAATTGGAGTAATTGGCACTGTGGATAAATATTTTTAACAAAGTCGTAGACTCTTCTTGAGCAAAACTTGCAAGGTTTCATGTCAACACTTTTACTTTTTTACTACTTGACAGAGCACGATGGCGTAAAATGGGACTTGTACGACGATTCGCAAGAGCCAATATTTCCTCCTGAACTCATGGTAAAGTTTAATATAACATTTTATTCATATATATATATCTCAATCACTCATCATAACGAAATATTTTTTAGATGTCTGGCAAACTAAACAGTGATACACCCAGATCATTGAAGTTTGTTGGAAACAACGTTACATGGCATCAGCCAACAAGTTTACGAGAAAGTTTGACAATAAAAAAGCAACATCCCGAAGCCAGAATTGTTGTTGGAAATACGGAAGTTGGAATTGAAATGCATATCAAAGGACGAACTTATACTCATCTTATATCGCCGGTAAATGTAAAAGAATTGAACAACATGATGGAAAGCGACGAAGGTATACGTGCAGATTAATTTGATAACATTGCAATATGTATGTGCTGATTTTAGTAAGTTTAGAATAAAGTTGCTATGCGCGTGGTATTCTGGGAACGTTCTGATCTACAGTATTAAGTTAAAATTAGCGTCCGAAAAAGACGATAAAATATCCGAGATTTTTGGTTCACCAATAAATGAGACTGCGTATGCCTGCCTTAATTAGGAGCTTCAACCCAAACCGCGAGTTACAAGCTCAAACTGTCTACATTGCATGAAATCATTAGTCTAAGAAAATTTCGACTCTAGAATAGATGCTAACTCTAAGAAAACCAAATTTTGACAACAAAAATTTTTTTTTTTTAATTTTTCATATTAGCCCCATCAGAAATCTGACTTTCTGATTACCAAATACAAAGAATTCCAGTTCAAACTTCCATTCCGATTCCTGATCTGGGCGAGTTAAACTCTAATTCAGGCGTTTCAGTGCTAATATAGAGTTTTTCATGCTCTGTCCGATGCCAATCGTCCGGATAATTAACAAGTAAAATATTCTGCATGCTCACAATAATTGAGGAAAGGAACAATGACATATTAAATAACCCCGCAATTGCAAGTGCAGCCATCCATTAGTACATAATCACTCTCACGGTATTCGAACCTGCGTTCGGGGTGCAAGATAAGTAGCGGTGCTAAATCGAGAGTATATCAAACTCCCGTTACAGTGAATCCACAAAGTTCTAAATCGATGCCTATTTAGATAAATCTATCATACTATAAACATTACAGGTGTTTCAATTGGTGCAGCATGTAGTCTAACCGACGTCGAGCAATTCCTTAAAGCTATAATCGAGAAAAGAAATGAAAAGCAATGTCAAGCCTGCGGTTCAGTGCTTGAAATGTTGGAGTTATTCGCGGGGAGTCAAATTCGAAATGTGGCGGTTAGAATAATTTTTGTATTTTGAGATGTATAACTGAATATAGATCTTGGTAAGGTCGAATTTTAATTCTTGTTGTTATAGTTCAAGGCTTCCCAACGTGGTCCAAGTGAACACCCAGTGGTCAACAGCGCGATTTCGAAGGGTCCACAGACAAAAAGTGCTAATATTATTTAAATGAGTACATTTCATTAAAGTTGTTGCACTTTTCATATGTTGTTGGATAAATGAAAGACCTGTTAGATTAGTGCTTGGATAAGTGTTACATTAGATCTCAATGCTTATGAATTACAAAGACACCACCACAAGATTCTCACTGAAACTTCTGTTAGTCTTTTTAACAATAAATTTTGTTGGAGAATTAAAAACTTGAATTTATTTTAAAAAAACTTGGGTACCGTACTAGGAAACCAGTCGACAGTAGGGTGACAAACCCGACCAATATATGCAAGGTGTTTTAGGGTTCTGATTTGAAAAGGAAAATTATAAAATAATTGAATAAACCTATCATAGTTATAATATTAAAATGCTTTGAGCATAGAACATTTAAATTGGAATCAAAGTGAATATGCAAACCCGAACCAAACGATTAGCTCAGTTCCATTAGACAATCAGCAAGTGATTAGGACAAGCAGCAAGTAAACTTGGATATTTTAAATAAACACTTGGGGGTCCATACAAAATTGAATAAAAATCTAAGGGTCCACAGCGATAAAAGTTTGGGAAGCCCTGATATAGTTTAATAAGCTATTAATTTACCAAACAATTTTTCACCTGAAAATCGAAGAAAGTTCTTGTGTGGTCTCTTCGATCTTTCGTATATATGGCTTCCGTTTCAACAAACTGGAAGAAAGGGGATCTCAACAACACTGAAGTGTAAACGAGAAAACCTTACGAAGTGTAAATATTTTAATATAACCATTTCACTGTCATTGCTATTTTTAGTGCATTGGTGGAAACATCATGACAGCAAGTCCAATATCGGATCTCAATCCCATTTTACTTGCGGTTGGAGCAAAACTAACTTTTGCTTCATCAAGTTCTGGTTTGAGAGAAATTCAAATGGATGAAACTTTCTTCACTGGGTATAGAAGAACAAACACCAAAAGCGATGAAATTCTAGTTTCTGTCACTATTCCATTTCTAGATGAGGTTGGACATTAGCGAATTTTTTATTATTAAGGAGTACAAATTTCGCTTTTATCTTTGAAAGTCCAAAATTTCTGCAAATATTTTATGTAATAAATTTTACAATTAAATGTTGTGTTTTACTTATACCCTATTCAGAATGACATCATGAAAGCGTACAAACAATCTAGAAGAAAAGAAGACGATATTGCCATTGTCAATGCTGGCATGTATGTTGCGTTTCAACCAGGAACCGCAGTAGTTAAGAAATTATCAATGGCCTACGGAGGGATGTCAGCTGTCACGAAAATTCCCATCCAGACAATGTCAAAGGCTTCTGGAAGGTTGCAGTACTATATACTATTCTTAGTTAAGAGTGGGTATGATTGTATGGTCCCTATCGCCACTCAAACGGCTTTCACCGTAGAGCACATATTGGGCCTTCGTATAGCCAGTCTGCAGGTCTGTACGATTTCAAGAGCAGTAGTGGCCTGTGGGCAATCTCTGGTGCTATTGCCCAACTATGAATATGGAGTGATATTTTGTGATTCAATGTACGGTAACATCAGAAATACTTGAACAGACCATCCAAACAGACCATTCAACCTAGTTAGTTGTATTGACTTTGGTTCAGCAATAGACAATAGTGAGCCAGTTTATTCCCGCAGTTACGCACAATTTAATCCATTTATATGACTATAACTCCAAATATTAACTAAATAGATAAAAACAAAACATGAAAAGTAGAACTTACAAATAACAAAATTCCAGAGCTCAATGACAGCGGCGCGCTCACTAAAATATAGAGAAGAAAAAAGCGACCTGCGAGAGAACTCACGGATGCCAGATTATTGGTCGGAATAGACAGTAAAGTTGGCTCAGTAAAATATATTTGGGACCCCTGTGTTATGAGGCATAGTCTATAGGAATAATGCATACAAATAATTATCATTCTTGAATTTCAAATAAGAAACCATTTCCTTTAACCGAATATGAATCTACTGAGCTTAAATAAAATTAAATAATTATCGCAAGACTGGCACGACTACTGAAATAGATATTGCGAAAGACTTTTCTAGAACACAACCTAGTGTCCATAACTTAAATGAGGGAACTTTTCCTACAGCAATTACACAAGACATCAGGTTCCAGTGAGAAATAATATAATTTTAGCACTTTCACATGTTACAGAAAATGGGACAAAAGTTTACTTGAAGATATTTGTTGTTGGCTGAGTGAAGAAATGAAATTACCACTTGATGCTCCAGGAGGAATGATTCAGTATCGACGTACTTTAGTCACGTGCTTCTTTTTCAAGTTTTTTCATCATGTGGGGAAAAGTTTAATAGACAGGGAAATACAACAGGTATATGATAATAATGGAAAAGTAATTTATGTAATACAACATGTGGCAATTATTGGCGCCATGCTAAGACATCGAAATTCAACTTGTTTATGTTTTCCATTATTTAAATTAGCTCTTGCTTATATGTTCAAATCGAACGTATGAAAATCCTCCTGCTCCTTCCGGGGGCATTGGAATTGGTTAATTTTAAATCATCTAATGAAATCGAATACAAATCTAGCTTCAAATATCAAAAGGATGAATAATAATCTGCTGAATATGATCCGCGAGACTGTAATCAGAAATAATTTGAGGCCTTCACAATTATAAAAAAATGTATGCGAAATTACGATGATTTCAATAATCATTCAATGTCTAATAAATATTTCAATTATCTCATAAACCAGAATGTATTAGGGTTTTCGTCTTATAATTAGCATTCACAACATGATTGCGCAATGCATAATTTTTTATATATATATATATCTTTCACTCAACCGTTTATGTCATTTTTTGAGTGCAACTAATGATATCGAATACAAATCTAGCTTCAAATATCAAAAGGATGACCCCTTTTTAATAGGTAGAAAAAACCAAGACAGATCTTGACGTACTACAGCCTATGTCAACTGAAACAGAATCCTTTACTGCCACTCAGACTTGGCAAGAGGTACCGTAATAAATTGATTTAATTACAATATTCTTCAAAGAAATAGTCTCGCGCTTAATTTTATACTCACTGTACTTGAAGACGTATACAGAACAACCAAATTATGATACAATTGGAAAATCTCGTATGCATGTGTCTGGGATAAAGCATACTACAGGAGAAGCAGTATACATTGACGACATTCCACTACACCAAGGTACGTTGAATTGCCATATTCGTTGCTGGAATAGAACTTTGCCAATGTTTGTATATGGGGTTTCATTGAAATGTTTTCTTGCACTCACCTGTAAATTTTGCATACACATACATTGTGGAATATTCTTGTATGTTTCAAACTCATACAATAAAAGCTAGGTTCAGAAAGTTGTGAAGAGAGTATGTTTTCTTATTTTGCATCAAATTTCGTCAACGTAAAAATACGCGCTTTTACATACAACCCATCGGCCACTGTTTTTCAATTAACCACATCATACATATATATTATAAGGGGAAGTCCATCTTGCGTTAGTGTGCAGCACTCGAGCGCATGCACGAATAACGAGTGTTGACTCAAACCTGGCTCTTAAATCTCTTGGTGTTGTGGACTATATCGACAGAGGTGACGTCATTGGGGAAAATGACATGCATGAATTTGGTGAAGTTTTTGCTGACGGCAAGGTAAATAAATACTTAAATCCTACACCACTTCTATAGCTATGATTGATTCATGTTCAACCATACAAGAAAAAGATTTTCCGCGCATTACTATTACAATTTTTCTCCATTTTAGGAATGTTTTTACGTGTTAGTGTCGATTGATTTATATTTCGAAAAACATCACATTGTTCCAGAGTAATCAAACAGCTCCTTTTACAAATTACTGCCACCGATTTTACCTCAGTCTTATTCGGGGCCGTTTTTCAACTATTGCAGTTAAACTAAGACATACCTAAATTTTAGAAACATTAGCAAAAACTCACATAGAAAACTAAAAGCACAAAACCGGTCAATGTTAAAGAAAATCTAAAAAAACGTACGGTAAACTATCATTATATAAGAATATAATTTAAATTGCGTATAAATATCTAACATAAAAAACAAGCATAGAATGATATTAATGAAATTTTTATAAATAATGAAGGTAACATGCATTGGTCATGTCATTGGGGCCGTAGCAGCTGACACTCAAGCACACGCAATAAAAGCAAGCTCTTTGGTAAAAGTGACTTACGAAGATATACAACCAAAAATCATTACTATCGAGGTGAGATTGAGATTCAGTTTTTGAGCATTGTCTTTAATAGTTTCTATCAAGCTTTTTTTAATTATTTGTCTCAATCTGCTTGAGATAATGTGGAAGACTGCTTGATTCATGCTACAAGTTCGTCATCATCGGCATCTATGGTTACATTAAGTTTAAATTCTTTTAGTAAATTTAGTTACGATTTATACATCAAGTATGAAAATATTTGCTACAGTTTTGAGAATTATGGGAGATAAAAATTATGACTTCCGACTGTTCCAGGAAGCCATATCACACAACTCATTCTACGAATCTTCAACTAGACTTGTGAAAGGAAATGTTGATGATGGTTTTAGGCTTTGTGATAAAATTATCGAGTCTGATTTAAGGTAAATATAAAATTATTGCATCCGTCTCACCAATAGTAAATAGTGTATTTTACTGCTTTACCGGATTTGCTGAAAGTTCAAGAAAGTCCAATAAAATTAGTCAGCGATGGGTGACATCATTGACATGTTCCATTTTCTACAGGGTTGGTGGACAAGAGCATTTTTATCTAGAGACGCAAGCTTGTATTGCAATCCCAAAAGGTGAAGATGGGGAAATGGAAGTTTTGAGCTCATGTCAAGATATGAACGAACTTCAGAAAATGGTGAGAACTCTAAACGGATAGCAAGATTTAATTAGTACAACTACCGTAGGCATAAAATCGTGGGTTGAGGGCTTTATTCACTTCATTTTATCTTGTACATAACCCTAATAGAAAAATATACAACCTTGCTAAGTATCGAAATAACATTAATCATCTATTTGATAGGCGGCGATGTGCCTTGGAGTAGACAGAAACAAAGTAACAGTCAGAACAAAACGTCTTGGTGGGGGTTTTGGTGGAAAGCAAAGTAGATTCCATGTTGTGTCAAACCCAGCTGTTACGGCAGCACGAAAGTGAGTAGACTAATACATTAGAAATTGTGATGAAGCCGTAAAGTATTTTCTTGAGTCAATTTAAGTTCTGATTCCATATTATAACTAAACCCCCGTGATCTATTTTGCATATTTCAGACTCGGAAGACCAGTTCGATGTATTTTGACAAGACAGCAGGATATGCAAATCACTGGAGGAAGACATCCTTATTTGGGACGATACAAAGTAATCATTCCAGACCAGTGGTTTTTAACCTATTCGTGTCGTTGCCCATATTTGTTTCACAAAAATTTCTGTGACCCATTAAGTTTCTACGCCAGGATAAAACTACAAGAAAAACAAATGAGTCCTGCAATATACCCACTTTCACTTTAATAATTAGAATGAAATTTACCACTCAGCAACAAAGAAGAGCAGCATCATTCATTTCTACTGCAATCAAAATTATAGTGACACAAATAAAACTAAATTTATCAATAAAACTTGCAATTTTCAATAGGTTTGTGGCCCACCTGGAAATGTTTCTATGGCCCAGCAGTGAGCCATGGCCCACTGGTTGAGAAGCGGTATCTAGACTATGTGCCCAAAATATAAAATGTATCCGTGAAATTTTTTTATTTCTAGGTTGGATTTACTAATGAAGGTAGTATAATGGCATTACGCGTGGAGCTGTACAGTAATGGAGGAAATACTGCTGATCTATCCTTCGAAATTATGTTGAGGGCAACCACCCATGCAGACAATTGCTACAAGTGAGAATGACTTTTAAAACTTTGAGATTGAAATAACTTGACCGCTTATGAAACATGTACAAATTTGAAATGCGAATAAAATTCCACTTGAGTGTAGTACAAATATGGGCGCTCCGGAAGTATTCGTACCAAGATGAAGCACAACCTGAACAACCTTAACCTGGTACAATACTATGTTCAGGTTGTGCGCCATCTTGGTACAAATACTTCGAGAGCACCCAAATATGTGCGCAAATACGATGCAAACGGGGGAATGGCTAGTTGTGAAAAATCGTTTCTTGGTAGTAGATTTGAAAAGTCAGTGTTTCTTCGATGCAAGTGCTGTTCTACTATGTTCTTTGGGAAAATGATGATAAAAAAATCTTTTTGTGCTTTCAGTATACCGCATATGGAAGTAATTGGGCGCATTTGCAAAACAAATATAGCATCAAACACCGCATTCCGAGGATTTGGAGCTCCACAATCTATGATAATTGTTGAAGATTGGATTACACGCGTTGCTGATACTTTGAATAAAAGCCCAGAAGAGGTAGGACAAGAAATAAACAGTAAATAAAGCTACAATTTTTTACTACAATTCACACAATTTTAAGATTCGTGAATTGAACATGTACAAAAATGGGGATAAGATATTGCACGGACTCGTGCTGGAGAACTTCCAAGCAAAGCGATGTTGGGATGAATGCATGGAAAAATCGAATTTTATCGAAGCACGTAGAGCTGCTGAGGAATACAACAAAAATAATAGGTAAATTACTTTGTAATATGCTACAATTTGAGCAGGATCCAAAATATGATGGTTCATTCCTGCTTGGCAATATAGTTTAACTAAACCCCAGCAACTAAGTCAGTGATTAAATTATCAAACTCAGATCATTGTAATTGGAGTTTCATGAAATATAAATCTAATGATAACATATGTCATATTATGCGGCTGCAGATGGAAGAAAAGAGGCATCGCATGTGTACCGTCCAAATATTCCGTTGGATACGGCGTAACTTTTTTGGAGCAGGGTGGCGCTCTTGTATTGATCTACTCTGATGGTACAGTGTTGTTGTCTCATGGAGGAGTTGAAATGGGTCAAGGGTTGCACACAAAAATGATGCAGGTATATTGTGTTGCAATAAAAAATAGTATACAGCTAACGATTTGCAAATATTATGATTATTGCAACTAGGATCTTATAAACTAGATTCTGGAAAGTTTCTGATGTAGTATTCTAGAAGTATATATATATTAATGGCGTGTTTTATTTCCATTTTACACGAGCATCTGCATTTTTGATAATGATATTTTCCATGAGATAACTCGAACTTTTTCTGAGTAATTTGCAATTATATATAATTATTTATTTTATTTGTAAGTTTATTTTTGCTTCAAAACCAGGTGGCAAGCAGAGAGTTGGGAATACCAATGAAGTTTATTCATATTTCTGAGAGTACGACAGCATCTGTTCCAAACACTTCTCCATCAGCAGCGAGCATGAGCAGCGATTTAAATGGAATGGCTGTTAAAGTTAGATTTATGTCACTGATTTGGTGGTCGAATGCGTGAAATTTCCTTTTTTCTTTGCAATATAACTCAAAATCTCATCAAGTCTCATCAAATGGAAAATATGATGAATCATGATCTTGGGATTAAGTGTCATCATATGCAATAAAAACATTTGGTAGTAATATATATATAGGTAAAATATGGCCTGACTTATAAGTTGATATACAATATTAATTACAAGTTTTTAGGTTAAAATTTCTAAAAAGAAACTACACACATCTCGATTATGTATAAGAAAATTGTAACCCCTAAAATGAATAAACATTCACGGATAAATTTTTCCATTGCATGCTCACGCATAAGTTATTTTATTTCATTAGAATGCTTGTGAAAAGCTATTGAAAAGACTTGAACCATTGAGAAAACGTAATCCCAACTTGGTGTGGTCTCGTCTGATCGAAAAAGCTTATATGGAAAGAATAAGCCTTGCTGCAACGGGATTTTACAGGTAAAAGTTTATCCGATGATTTTGAAAATTCAATTGTCATTTGAGTTCCTAATGACGTATTCCTATTCAACTGAAAAAAAGATTCACCTCTAATTCCTATTGAGACTAGATTGGAAATCAATGACAAAAACATGTTTTTTATCTAGCACAATTTATTCCCTCGAAATGTAATGATGTCATTCTCTCCAATGCCATTTGATCAATTACCGCTACCAAAAACAAATGAAATTGATTTTTTGCACTGGTAGGTCACCTGGAATTGATGTAGAATGGAATCAAAAAACTGGTGTTATCACTGGAAACATGTTCAATTATTTGGCTTATGGAACAGCAGTTTCCCAAGTTGAAATCGACGTATTGACTGGACATCATGCTGTGTTGCGGACGGATATTGTTATCGATGTCGGAAACAGCATAAATCCTGCAATTGATATTGGACAAGTGAGACATGATTATAGATTTAAAAGATAATCATTGTTGACTACAAAAGTATTTTTTATTTTTTTCAGACGTACCATTCCATTTCGTCTACCATTTTCTTTAGATATTGCCAAACTAAAACGCGGTTTGCATTTTTTTTAATTGTAGATCGAAGGCGCCTTTACACAAGGATATGGCATGATGACACTCGAAGAAAAGCTTCATTCACCATCCGGACACCTGTGGCATACTGGTCCTGGATCTTATAAGATTCCAGGTTTTTCCGATACCCCCAAGAAGTTCAATGTGCATTTCCTACGGAGCTGTCCCAACGAAAAAGCTATTTATTGCTCCAAAGTAAGTGAGTTCAACATTAATTGAAAATCTTTATAATTAATTGTTAGAATTTACGTATGCAAAGCCGAGTAAATAGGAAGCAATATTGTTTACTGGTGAACCCGACAGATCTCTAATGTAGCATATAGTTTAACGTCAAGTAAGAGAATTATCTATGTAACCTTTTGTTGTATTGATTCTCACTCATTTCCAGCTTTGAATTTTTTCAAGTATTTATATTTCACGTATTTATTTTATGACAATTGACCGAATAGTCGTTTCTGATCAAGTTTATTTTTGTTGTTAATATTATTTTTAATTGAAAATAAACGTCCTATCTCTTTATTTAGGCTGTGGGTGAACCACCACTTTTCTTGGCAGCTTCTGCAATGTTTGCAATCAAAGATGCGATCAAGTCTGCACGCTCAGATGCCGGAATTGTTGGTCCATTCAGACTTGACAGTCCAGCAACTTCCGAAAGAATTAGAATAGCATGCGAAGACGATTTCACCAAAAAAGTAAGTCAACATATCGTCAGGTAGCATTGAGATAAACTGAATCTGATTCTCCACTAATTGCATCTAAGCAACGACAATTACCGGTGTGCTACTTAAAAACAAAATATCCCGTTTTAATAGGTTTTGAACGATGTATATTTTCTTCTCAGGCCAATGAAAACGAAATGCTCAATCAAGGACAGACGCCATGGGCAGTCAGAACATAAATGTTACGAGATAAGAATACTTTTAGAGGAAGATCTTTAAAAAATACATGTCTTGATAATATTATTTATGTTAACTTTATGCCATATTATTTTGTAGTCTATGTGCTAACTCGTCAATAAAACAAAAACATTTATTATAAATTGGCTTGTCCTGCTTCTATTTCTCAAATCATAGGCAAAAGAATTGATTGGAGCGATTTTGCTTGCTCAATTATTGTTCTTACATATTATTTCAACATCAACCAGTTGTCATTTGGAGAACTCATGATTCTATACAGTTAACACAATTACTTCTGATTTAAAACATTGCTGCATATAACTGACTTTTTACATTACATGTGATTTATTTCACTTGCTTAATCATATGTAAAAAAGAATACGATTACAGCAACAGCAACGCGTTTGATGAATACTGAACAATGAAATCTATATATTGATAATTTTTCATCAGTAGTTTTTAAGTCTACCACATGTAATCATAAAATTTTGTGTAAGAAGGTCATAATTACGGCGAGAATCAGTTATACCCTATGTCAAATTACGTAGTTTTCATGCGCGATAAGCACTTTTGTTATAGCTAATCTGACATTCCTGTCGCTCTCATCTTAGAAATATTTTTAATTCGACATTTTTGATCTTACGTCAGTTAGTCCTTTTATGAAGTTCTTCATGAACCATCGACTATTGTTAATTAAAATACAGTTTATTAATATTAATAAAAGTATCATGAATCACAGTTTGTCACATCTTCTTGATGGAATGAAGGCATGGGTTCCCGTGCATGGGTTAGAGCAGTGATTCCCAAACTTTTTGTACCATCGCCCCCCTACACTAGTTTATACAACTTCATCGCCCCCCGGCACTGCAAAAAAATTGAAAGTCTGAAACGAATATATTACATTACATTATTATATTATATCTAAAATTACCCCGTTTACTGATGGAAAGGCAATTTAGTTGTTTTGATAGCAATAGTGTCACGGCTGAAAACCCCCTTTTTACCATAATAGAGGTCGGATATGGAAGAATCCAGGGTTCTACCTCATCAAAAACCGCCGTGTACTCTTGCCTTATAGCATTTAACTTCTAAATCCACCCTGTTTCACATTAAAATAATGAAATAAAATTAATTTTTCAAAACTTATAATAATGATTTAGGTACATGTCATTCATCCCTACAGCCTGACGACCTTCGCCAAAATACATGATATATATAGGGTCTTCGGTAAAATTCATCCCCCATGCCTCATCCTACCACGTCTTCCAGTTCGATCACCAGTCCATAGAATTAATCAGCCATTTGTTTTGGATTCGTGGACTCGGGTGGCTCAGGGGTCGGCAAATTTTGGGTCGCTCGCGGGACAAAATTATGATTGCTATTCTTTTGCGAATCGCATATATTTTTTGAAAGTTAAAAACGGAACATCGTGCAAAAACTCCGACAATTCGTGAACTCAACTCAGTCGTCTTATTAACCTAATGACCCCTGGTGTTCCTGGGTCATTTTGACACCCTTCTATAATTTTTTTAATATTTCACCAACCAAAAATGCCAAAGACATCATTAATGTGTCCCTAAAAAGCTTATTTTCGTCGCTTTCCACTAAAACGCGCCCACATTACGTGGCGTAAATGCGTCCGACCATATGCCAGTAAGAAGAGAGAAATTTCAAAAAATTTCGAGAAAAAGTTTCTCACTTTTAACGCTGTGGTCGACACGTGATTGATATGCGAGAGAAAGAGTTCTCTTTTAGAAGAGCTATACGTCACCTTCAAGATAAAACAAGACTGGGATTTGTAAGTGAAGTGATATTCGTTTTATCTAAGAGCATTTGATCGCGTGCTGTCTGGTATCTTTGTTTGTTTATTATGAGCCGAAGAACGTTGCTCGCGCGTTCAAAATACTTCGTTTTCAACTAACAATAGATTATTTGGTTATTTTTAAGCTTTGAAATACTCATACAAATAAAATTGACCTTGTTGCAAAATAAAAATTATACATAAAAAAATATGATGACATCACCGTAATTAAGAACACTCGGATCAAGCATGGGTAATTTAAACTTAAACATTTTGAGTTTTGAAATTGGTTTTGTTCACATGCAGACCACTATGAAATACTATTGACCCCCCAAAATACATTTAATTTAGCCATAATCCCAAATTATGACACAGATCAGCCATTTATGACCGGGCCGAAACCCTAGGGTATAATTATTACAATGACATTTAATGTGACACAAAACATACATTCTTACAAAAATTAAGCAGTGATGAATCTTTCGAATAGAATATGAGTTTGATTTCCTTATTGCATTGCAATATATTCGAATATTTACTGCGCTATTAAACCCCTGCACTCAGCATCAACTTTTCTGCGTGTTTCCATTTGTCTAATTATAATTAAATAGTAGGCTCGTTAAACGAGTAGCTGTTCAATATAATTCTTAGAATATAATAAAATTTAGTCTAAACGTGTCTCACGATAAATTCTGTTACGTGAAAAGAACTCCTCGAGCGTAGATAATAAATAAAATTAATTCATTGTTAAAACCGCCGTTTGGATGTTTCCCCTGGCAAAGACTTCCTTGTTTACTTGGCCAATCAGCAAGATGCAAAAATAAATGTAACAATCCCCCTTTCGCATCCGCTCAGACACATTCCTCACCCAAACAGACTTTCAGGCGTGGTCGTGAACATTACCTCATTTTCGCGATTTTGAATTATATTCGTTAGTTTTTAGTTGTTTTTTGGAAATTTAAATAAAATAAGTCAATGAACACTTTGTCCTCCTAGGAGTTTCAGTTTAATTACAGTAATCAAAAATTAGTGTAGAAATAGCTGTGAAGACTGGGCTAAAATTCTTTACCGGTACTTTTAAACAACAGATTGTTGAATGGTATGAATCAGAATGATAGTTTGAAACAAATACTTCATTTTATAGGCAATAACTCGCGAAACCACTCTTGAAATAAACACCGAAAATTTTAGAATGGTGAGGTATGGGAAAAATTTTCGGGTTCAAAGATCGGGAAAAGATCCATTCAGTGAAGCGTCCCGGGCCAGATTACTACAGATTTCCCGACCACTGTGATACGCAAACTACCGTACCTTACTGCGAAGATGAGTCCGGCAATCCTTTCGCGTCTGTTATTCGCCCACGTGATTCAAACCTACGAAAGCACGCAGAGTACAGTAATCAAGTGCACGATGCGCCGACCAAAAACGGGTTTCGCGAAATCGCCCCCCCTATCGCTCCTTTCGACTTTTTCGCCCCTCTGTATCGTTTTCGCCCACCGGGGGGCGATATCGCCCACTTTGGGAATCACTGGGTTAGAGGACATTCGGGATAATGTATGATTGGTCTTGTCGCAGTGTAAGTTGTAATACCAACTGTGGTTGAAAGAACCAAAAATGATGTATTGCGAATGAGAGTCAAAAGGATGACATCCCAATTCAAACACTACCTCGAGGTTTACTTTTACATAGTCGCAGTTCTAATAAACTGTATAAAACTTGGGGCAATTAATTATAATGAAGTAATCCGCTCGATTATCTTTATTGGTTGATGTCCGGTTACTAATTAAAAACTGGCTTTTCCGTCAATTCTATTATCTGGGGTCAATAGGTTGTTTTGAACTGACGCGATTATTCAAATCATTTCAGGAGAGATTAATTATTGTGTTCTTCAAATAGGAAAAAATTAACGAGCTTGTCAGTAATGATTTTAGCCTTCTTGTACACTTGTCGCTACCTCGAAGGTGGCCAGACAAGAATGGAGAGGCGACATGCTAAATCGGGGTCACGTGGACAGAGGTGCTAGGAGTGTTCCAGTTTCTCAAAGATTGGTACGCAAAATCAGGAAAATGGTCAAAGTTGCGTCAGTCGTTAATTGTTTACAGAATTTCATCGCAACTACAATACTATTAAAATCCGTCAGTCGTTAATTGTTTACCAGCATTTCGCCGTAACTTTAATACTGTTAAAAAAGCGCCGGTCGTTTCTCGTCAACTAGTATTTTGATGTAACTTCAGTACTGTCGAAAAGCGCCAGTCGTTCAATGTTAACTAGCAATTTGCCGTAATTCAATTATTGTAAATACTGTTACAAAGCGTTAATCGTTTACTAGCATTTCACTGTAAATTTAATCAGTGGGCATACGGTTAAAAGCGTTGAACGTTCTGTTCTAGCTAGCTTACAGGGGGGGGGGGGGGGGGGGGCGATTTTAACTAGCATTTCGCAACAATTCTAATCTGACCAAAATCGGTCTACACTCTACTGTAGAGTCTACACTACAGTCCATATACTGCTTCACACAGTAACTGTTATCCTGTTTAATATTTGTATAATATTTTAATTTTATCGATTTGTTCTCAAGCATAGATTCTTCTGTCAGATACACCCACACGAATGTTCCATGCAATGCGCGTTTATTGCGTAAAAGAGTTGGATGTAAATACAAAAATCATATCCTGAGCGAAGCTGGATTTAGGAATAGCTATACTTACCAGTACCGGTATACGTATACCCGGACTGTCCTACCTTATCCAGGTACTGCTACGATGAATATTCATGCATCTAATCTCAACTTGAATCGAAGTACCGAATGATTCAATTATAGTGAGAGTTACAGTATTCTACCTTACCTTTACAGTATCTCACATTAAATAGTCTGCTGTACTGTAAGATAAAAAAAACTTGCGTCTTTCGCGTAGCGAGAACAACAACATATTAACAATACTAACAAAACGATAGTGTCGAAAAATCCAAATTATTTGCGTGGGCGTTTGCGGTAATTTCGTATTCATTGATATTTAAAACATTTAGATGTCCTTCATTCGTCGCAAATGGCAATGGAACCCACTTTTCATTCAATAACTATTGCCATGGGTGCTATTGTTCATAGGCGCAAACGTACGCTGTGCAAATGTAACAGCAAGTAAATGAACGAGCGTGCAAATATATAGGTGTCTTATAAAAATTAACTTCAGTTATTCTTGTTGTAGTGTACATACTTTGAACATCTTTGTTCATATTCCGTTATTATTACTTATCGATTTTAATCGGTAAAGATGTTGATAGGTATTTGTCTGTCTGTTAGATGCACGCGATATCTTACGAAAGCGAGATTGAATCTGCTCCAGATTTTGCATGTGCATTCATCATATGTCGTACCAGAAGCCTATTGATTTTTGATAAATTATGTCGTATAATTAGCGAGTTATAAATTAATTAGTGATGGGACACAAGGTGTCACTATGGAGTAGGAGCGCTGTTTTGGGGATCCCCTAACTTTCGATCGATAAGTCTTCGGTCTCTGACTGATATTCTCGTTATATTATTGTTCTTTGTGTTGTATTTGTGAATGAAACAGACACCAAATTGCGAATTAGTAATATAATATAACAGCAATTCTTATATATATAATTATGAATTACTAAATACCTAATTTAAACGTCAATTCAATTGTTACAGTGCAGTGCATAACATTAAAATATTATGAACAATGTTTGTATCAATATTAGAAAAAAATGATTTTATGCTCGAACTGCCCATGGCTGTAACCCGTTCTCACTTTCAGAAGGCTTTGCCTGTTGAATATAACAAAATAGCATTGGTATGTGTAATATCATGATTTTCCGTAGAACGTCAATAAATATTGAAGTCGATACATATTTTAATACTGCATATCGATATTAGCTTGATATCCACATGTCAGAAAAGACAGAAAAAAAGAAGAAGATGTGTTTGCAATAAAATATCAAATTTGCCAGTTTATTTGAAAT